TCAAGTAAGATGACACATACACGAAATCACACGGCCATAACCACATATACAGCACACACCACCAGCCACACCCACACCCCACATCCACACCCTCAAGATAGTATATTTCATATATTCCACTTTTACTAATCTTCGTCGTGTTTATTTTACCTTCAAAAAAATACAAAAACGAATTTGCCACTGTCATTAGAAAAAACCTTTAACTTCGAAAAAAAAATGTTTTGCTCATAATGTTGAATTCAATAAGACACGATCAGTCCACATCAATACAGAAAGAATCATACGATGAAAAATACGACAAACACAAAACTTGCAAGATGAAAGTTCAAAAATATGTGTTGATTTCCTCCGTTTGATTCTTCTATTGTTTTTTCGAAATAAAATCTGTTATTCTTATCATACATATGTTGAATATTAATTAATCGTTGTTGATGTGTGTGATGATAAACATTCATCCAATTCGGCACATCTCTATCAATGTAATTAACATATGAATGTTTTGTTGAATCATTGTAGACAGCCAAATATACTTGATTTAACCAATTCATTTGTTCTTTTTCATGTTGCTCATCATTAGAAGAAACTTGGAACTGAATACCAAATTTAAAATGTCTATGTGGAAATGCTGTTTCATCAACTGGAATTGTACTTAAATATCCATCCCAAGGAATAAATATCATAATAATTTGACCATCACCCGATGCTAATCGATCGATAAATTTATCGAGACTATGACTACTTATTGGTCGATCATAAAATAAATGTTTGGCTTTAAAATGATACGTTGGATATGTTAAACGATCAAGTAACAACAGTTGATGATCACCACTACCATTAGCAATTCCTGATAATTTATAAACAAAAGTTAACCAATCTTGTTCATACAATTTAGTTCTATTTGGAGTTGGTAACGTTGCCAACAGTGACGATATAGTATTATTAAATTCGTCGAACTCAATACCAAAATAAAGTATTGAAATTGCTACATGAGTCTTCAACACACGCATAAATAAAAATAGATTATTACTAAAATTCGATATTTTGTCATCAAATAACAATGATTGATATCGTTGCATTACTAATTTTGTTACATTTGGATACCATGTAGATGAAAAACGTCTCACGAGTGGCT